AGTGCCGTTCTTAATGACATTGTCATCCTCTAAACAGCACTTGTGTCATTCTCTTAGAATTTTTCATCTCAATATAAGCACAAGTGTCATTCTTAATGACATTTTCATCCTCAAGCATTGAAATCCTAAAGTACTTAAGAAAAGTAGATCACGTGACAAAGAACAATTGAAATGACATAGATTATTTGATATAAAGTTGATGAAAACACAAGTAATTCTATTATTTTCAACGAAATATAAGTAATGAGCATATTTCACAATTTTTTTAAATGGCATGTCAACTTTACAACTTAAATGAGTTCAACTTATTATTTCTCAATGCATGGAAGAGTCGTGGCTGCTTAAACTCGTGTTCCTAGATAGAACGATACAATTGTCGTTTTATAATTAGTAACGACACTTGAGATGTTCTGTTGATTTCTCCTTTATTTTTATTTGTTTCCAGCGCAACGACCTTTAGAATTGGACATCCTAAGTTGTACCATTTTCATTTGTCTTAAAAGACATTAACAAAAATGTAGGAAAAAATCAACAGAACAGCACAAGTGTCGTTATTAATATGAAAATGACCATTGTGCCGTTATGGGGATTGTTTGAGCCCCCTCTTTTTTTTAAAAAAAAAAATAAATTTTATAACAGTGTTATGATGGAGAATGTGTGGCTAAAAAATAAGAAAATATTTTTGAGTTTACATGTAATATTATTTTATTGAAAAACGTGTGGTTAAAATGATATCAAATTACTGTTCAAGGATGCATTTTGATGAAAAATAAGAATCAAACAAGGCTATATGTGTAAACACGAGTAAAAGCAGCTAAGTCTTATCTATGCCTCGAGAACCAATAATGGAACTCATTTATATTATTTATGATATTGTCAAACTTTCTATGTCATATATGTTAAGGAGTCCATTATTAAATATTGTTTTGTTGAAAGTATTGGATATAGGTGAATTTCAGAACGACACAAGTGTCGTTACTAGACATGAAAACAACACTTGTACTATTACGTATATAAATACGAGTATAAGCAGTCGCAGTCCATTCGTTCCCTACAAAATAAGGAACAGAACTTATTTATATTGTAATATTTACATGACACTTACAACAGTTTATAGATATGTCCATTAATTTAATCGACATATATAATTGTGATAACTTGTACTTTTACCATCTCAATAATATAAAATCTATGTCATTTCAATTGTTTTTTTGTGACTAGTGAATCTTTTTGTGATATATACGTTAGTGAGTCCATTATTAAAGTCATTTCATTGAAAAAAAAAATCAAATTACAGCAAATAACGACTGTAATGTCGTTTTACTTTACAGATAACGGTTGGAGTGATGTTCTATATTTCAGATAGTAGTTAGAGTATTATTATACCCAATAGTTGTAAATAATACAAAAAGCATATTAAATACGAAAACAATACTAACTAAATATTTTTTGATACTATATTTAATAATAAAAATACAACATAGATGCAATTTCTAAGAGCATCTTTCTTCTTTCTTCAAATGTAAATGTGATTTTTCACTGTAAATGATATGATAACCAAATTCTTGTTCAAATACTCAAAAGATACCCAAAACAAGTGAAGAATATAATAAAAAAACATAATTTTACGATAGCAAGAATGGTGATTAAAGAGAAGAAAATAGGTTATTGTAATTTTGAGGACTTAAAATTGAAGAAGGTGAAAGGGGGAAGAAGATGTTATATTCACACACACACACACACAAAAGAGAGAGGAAAAAAAAAAAGAAGAAATTAGGAAGGTGGAGGAAAAATGACGGGATGAAGTGAAAAAATTGGAAGATGTTAAGTTTACAACTAAAGGAGATTTTTATTATTTTGCCGATTATAATAATTTGCATTTTTCTATTTAATTTTATTATGAGTCAAATGCTATTTAACCATATACATTGTCTAGTTAGGCTAATAGGCCAAATTCCTCTTCTTTAAATAGATTGTTTGCAAAGATGTGGGTAACTTTCTTCCAATTTTTCATCAGGTGTTTCCTTATCTTTCTTTCCAGATTGCATCTTTGCATTAGGAAAAATTCCATTTGTTTTATACATAATTTCCAACAGATTTCCACTTCTTCTCCGAGTCTTCATTTTGAATTTTGACAAAAGAAATTCATATTACCGTTGACAAATATTTAAATAGATCAGGGCAAACTTGTCCCTCCATACTTCATTCGGGCATTGAATCAATCAAATGTTGACTCATCCTTCTTCGTTGAACTGAAACACCTCAATTCCCTTCACTTACTCGCAGCAGCGCAAAAAAATTTGCATCAGCTTTTTCGAACTTGTTATCAAACCCGAATTCTGATGAAAAGTTAATTTCCCGCGCTGCGAAGTTTTATTTACAGATACATTTTTCTTGAAAATTCGGTTCCTTACTTTAGCTTCTGCTTTGGCGAAATGTAAGAATTTTCAGAGTTTGATTGGGGATTGCTCTAGCCTATAGGTAGCTCTGCGAGGAGTATGGTGGGGAGAATAGGAAGGGGAAAAGATTTTGTGTTTCGCGCGGAAGGTATTTTTCATGAGACTTCCATTGCGGATTGTACAGTTAAGTTTTATGATATGGTAAGGAAAACTTCATACAAGGGTGATTTTGATTTGGTTGCTTTCTGAGGTTCTTGAACTCGGAGAAGGTATTCATCCCTTAGTTTATAACATTTATTTGTTAGTAGTAAAGTCATGACGAATTTTTTGGGACCCAAAAGTGGAAGATGGTTCTATTTGGGATGAATTTGATCCTTATTTTCTAGTTAACTGACTTTTAGTATGTACAAAAGTAATTTGGAGATGTATTAAATCCTTATTTTCTAGTTGAGATTGAGATCGTTTCGAAGATTAGTTTAACTCAGTCTTGAAAGAGCCATTCAAAAGCTTGATCCTGGCTCCAAGGGACATCTGCCTGAGTCTTTTTCCTGGTCATGTTTCCTCAACTTGCATTCTAGCGAGGGCATTCTGTTAAGGGATAAATTTCATATCGATTCAATGTCGAAATAAAGATCAACGTATAAGGGTTTGTACTACTCCTCTTGATAAGGGCTTGGTCTATATTTTGATATTTAACTAATATGAGGTTTATTCCTTAGTTCCATTGTATATAAGCTGCGAATGGATGACAGGAAACACCATGCCGTAAAAGTCTACAAGATCTATTTATGTTTATTTTCTCCTCATTTATTGTGCAGGCTCATACGAAAAAATAAAACCCTTGTTTGATCTCCATTTTTCCCATCAAAATTTATTTTTCAATAGTGATTTGACCGCACTTCAACTACACATACTTCAATAAAATAATATTACACGCAAATTAAAAACTTTTCTTTATTTTCAAACCACATATTTTACATCAGTGCACTATTCAAAAATACATTTTTTTGACAAAAATTGGGCTCAAAGAAGGGCTAAATCTTCTCAGTTTATTAGGTTTTGAGTATTATTTACGGTACATGAACTTTAGCCCATCCAGTAAAATCTCATACGAACATCTCTATATCAAGATCAACTCCTCACGGCAAACTGAGTGCCTAAGTGGAAATGACGCAGCACACGTTCGGCATGTTAATTATGTGAACAATACGCATCAAAATCTACATGAATTCAACTTGTATCAAAATCATATATGTGCTCACAAATTTTTCATCACGTACATACATAAAATAACTTCAGTTATCAAAATTTAAAACTAACTAAAGAATTCAAGGACAAGAATTTAGTTATTACAAGGTTTTTTATTTTATTTGTACCCTGATTGACTTAGCTTTGTGTTGGTAGAAATCATGAGAGTGAGGAAAATATTTTACTATGTAGTTTTTCTCATCTAATAAAGTCTCACTCGTGATCACCGATGATTTGTTAGATTGCATTTAATTTGTGTTCATTTTTCTTATATTTTTGTTTTTGATTTGTGTTTGTTGTAATTTTTTCCAAACAGTTAATTTATTACTAGAGGTTTTATGAACCATATTTTTGTCCACAACAATTATTAATGAATTGACTCAAGAAATAGAAAACTATTGAAGTAGCAAGCTAAGATTAAGACAATGTCTTAAGAACACGGGCACTAAGGGCGAATGAGAACATTCTTTAAAACTTGTTACCAGAAGCCTTATTTTCAATCGTCAATTTTCCACTATTCCAAGATTTTCTTTGTATATTATATTTCGAAATGAAATTGGAAAACTTCATGATACAATATCTTCTTGATAATCGTCGAGAACTTTTACTCGGATCTTTGTAAACAACTCAACTTTAATGATCAAGTATTGTAAGAAAATAGTTCCAATTATAAATAAAATCTATAGACCTTGAGAAAACTGACAATTATGTTATCGAGTCATTAAAAAGCTCGTTTTGTTCAATATACAAGATTTTTTGAGTTGTAAGTGGATTGACTTAGCTTTGTGTAGGTAGAAATCGTGAGAGTGAGGAAAACATTGTAATGTGTAGTTTTCTCATCTAATAAAATCTCGTCTTTTTTGTGATCGTCGATGATTTGTTATATCGCGTTTAATTCGGGTTTCATTTTTCATGTTTTGTTTTGCTCTGCGTTTAGTGGAATATTTTCCAAATAGTTAATTTATTACTAGAGGTTTTATCAACCAAATTTCTGTACACAACAATTATTAATGAATTGCTTCAAGAAAAAGAAATCTAATAAATAGCTAGCTAAGATTAAGACAATCTCTTAAGAACACGAGCACTAAGGGAGAATGAGAACATTCTTTAAAATTTGTTACCAAAAGCCTTATTTTTTATAGTCAAGTTTCCACTATTCCAAAAATTTCTTTGTTTAATGAAATTTCTAAATAAAATTAGAAAACTTCCATGATATGATATCTTGATAATTGTCGAGAACTTGTACTCAAGCTAGTCAAATTTTGTAAATAAATCAAGTTTAATGATCGAGTATTGTAAGAAAATAGTTCCAATTGTAAAAATGAGATCTATAGGCCTTGAGAAAACTGTCGATTATGTTACTGAGTCATTATAAAGCTAATTTTATTCAATAAACGTATTCAACAACCGAGGACATCACTGGTAGGCAACAACCCAGTAGTAAAGTAAACATAATAGCATAGCTGGCTATAACCAAAACTTCCTCTCAATTTATTCCCTCAAATGAACTATCCTTCTCAGTGAATCCTGCAACAAATTAAAAACGCAATTTAATGTAATGACAAATGCTTCACATTGAAAAAAATAAATAAAGAACGGATTTTAAGCACGGACAAACATTAACTTACTCTCTGCAGTCGACTGTAGGAGAAATTGGGACGCCAATGGAAACACCACATTTAGTCGGGAGCTGGGAGGCAGCATCCGGCTTAAGGTTAGTGTAGTGTGAGGCTGCCGTCTTTAAACAGCCACATGCGGTCTGCCTATCTTGTGTAGTTTGAAGAGACTGACTCAGAGTCTTAACGCCGCTTCAGCATGATGGAGATGGAGTTCCTCCTTCACTCAGATATGTCAAACATGGAGAAATTTGAGATTCAACTTGGCCACAAGAAATGGCTGCTCCTGGTTTAGCCATGAACAGCTGAACCATGGCTACAACCACTAACAAAATCACTGCAAATCCCTTCATTTTTTTCTTATCTTCTCTACTCAGTCAAGTGCTTTTCTGGATGATGGATAATGGGTTCAAGGGTGGGGGTATTTATAGCTGGGGATGGATAATTGTGAACAAAAATGACATCACAAGTGGTTAATTGAAAATGTCATTTAGTTACCTTTATTGAGAAAGAGTAATGGAGTGTGAATCATCTGTTACACTCAGTTTTGTTCCTATAAGGCATTTGTAAATGATACTGCTTACTTTCAGTTAGCAAATGGGGAATAAATAAATAAAAGAATTGTGACAAATGGACTCTAACACGACACGGCAGTTACTCTTGCATCCTTAGCCCTGTTTGGTTTAGCTAAAATTTCAATTTATAGTAGATTTTGATAAAAATTGATGAAGTACGGTTGAAAAATTGATAAAAATTGTGAATTTCATTAAATTTGTAATTGAAATGAGTCTAAAGGAAAAATAAGTTTTTGCAAATGGCAGCCAACACAAGGACTTAATATGTACTACTTCTAGCAATTATCAATCCGAAGGCTAAATTCATGCCAACTCAAAGGTTGTCTTGCAGGAGTTGTCTGGTTGCATGGTAGCAAAATTGCATTATACATTGAGATTGAACTACTTTGTATAAAAACTTCAGTTGCTAAAGAATCGATACATTTATTCAAGTATAGTCTTTAAATAAAGGAAAAATTGCAGCCGAAGTACCAAACCTTTCGTTTATTAGCAGACTTTGCCCAAACCTTTAGTTTGTGCCACCAGAGATACCAAACCTTTAAAAAAATGTATGGGGCCAGTCCAAAATGATGGTTTCCGTCTGTTTAATCGCCAAAATCGTCAGTTGACCCCTTTAATGATATTTTCAAGAATTTTTCCCAAATAAGTGAAGGGCAACATGGGCATTACACACATTTCCCTCCTATTATATACTTCACTGTTTATTTCCCTCCATTTCTTTATCACTATATATTACCTACCTTCTCTCTCACAGGTAGTCAAAAAAATCAGCACGCACATGGCGGGGAATGTATGCAGATGTGGTTCCCCAGTGCGGATGAAGACCTCGTGGACGAACTTGAACCCGGGAAGAAGATTTCTCACTTGTCCTCGAAGCCAAGATGTGGGTGGATGCACCTTCTTTATGTGATGTAACCCTCCGATGTGTGAAAGATCGAAGAAACTAATTCCTGGTCTATTACGAGCTAGGAGGGAAATGGAAGCTGAAATCGATACCCTTCAAACAACAAGACCAAATGTGTGGAAGATCTGACTCTTCGGCTTTGTGTGTGGAGTGTTTTCAAAATGGGTTTGTTCCTAGGTATGTAGGGTCAGATTGTAGGATTTTAGTTTTTTGTTCTAGAAATTTGAGTTTAGGGTTTCGAAATGGAGCCATGTGCTAGATGTTGTGAAATGCATATGTAAAAAGGAAAAATTGTGGTGTACCTTTTGACTTAAAATTTAACGATCTTTTCTTGGCCTCTATGTAAAATGCGAAATTAAAAGAGCAGATTACACTTCAAACTTATCTGAAGAAGGTGCAGCATAGGTACCAAACCTTATAACGAGTAGCAAAATCAGTACCAAACCTTTTCTAATGGTTTCATACAGAGTACCAAACCTTTAAAAACATTGCAATAAAGATACCAAACGTTTGATAATACTTTCAGAGAAAGTATCAAACATTCTCATATATTTCCTAATCGCCTGCACATCAGATCTTACGAATATAATTTCAGAAACCAATGACAAACAGCAGAAACATAATGCAAGATATTCGACATCAACATTATCATCACATTGAACAATTTCATCAAAAATTCCAGTTACATCTACAAAATAACAGCATTGGAAGCACATATTTCCAGTTCAATTTACAAAAAACCACAGTATTTTCCCAAAAAGGTAACTATACAAGAGAAACCACATGATGTTCAAGATTGCGATCCTCTATTGTTGGACTTCTTTGTCTGTGACTTGGAGGTTTGCGTTGAATGTGCTTTTCTCTTCCCCTTCGCTGATCTGGTATGTGTATCTTCTTGTGTGGTTGGTTGAGACTGTTGCTGTGAACTATCTTCACCAGGCAGTGCCTCCTTACAGCTTCTTTTGTTATGTCCAGACCCTCCACAGCGTTTACACGTCATCTTCATGACAGTCCTTCCCATCTTAACGTCTGCAGGTGGCTCTGTCTATGACCTCTTCCTCACTTGTTTGGGTCTGCCAGCCTGTTTTCTCTTCCGAGGTTGATTGAGAGGATGCTTTCCCAATTCTGGCCACAGTTCAGGCCTTGACATCGGGTAGATCATTGGGGAGTAACATTTGAGGTATGTCTCTTTGCTATACCATAGGTCGATGTACTCATATATGCCAATATCCCTTGAAAGCATGCCTGATATTGCATGGGGACATGGTATTCCAGTGAGCTGCAATTTTCTACAAGCACATGCATGTTCTGTCAAGTCAACACTCTACCTCAAACCGTCTCAGCTGCTTATCTTAAATTTATGGTTGCCTACATAGTCTGCCTTCAAGTACCTTCCTCAGACTTAGCCTTCTCAATGATTTTTACAATTCTTAGCCCGAATGCATGATCTCACCTCTGTGCCGCTTCCCTTTTTGCATTCATCCTTATCATTTGTTGATGTTGAATTTTCTCTAGCATGGAGATGATGGGCCTGTCTCTGGCAACAACAATGGAAGAATTGAATGTCTCACACAAATTATTAAGAAGAATTTCACATCTCGAATGCTCTTCAAAATGGGATCTGATCCATTGGGAAGGAGGTTTTTCAAGGAACCAATTGTAAGCCTCTTCACTTATGTCTTTTAATTCATTCATTGCACTCTTCCAATCTGGCACTGTTGTTGCCCTTGCTGCAGTCCAAAATAGGTTCTTAAGTGCCGACCTTTGTGTGCCAAGGTGAAATTACTATAAAGATGTCTAGCATAACACCTATGCTCCGCTCCTTCACAGTATTGACTTATGGAATCCACCAAACCCTTTTGTTTGTCGGAAATGAATGTCCAAGCTCGAGGGTTATGCATCCCTATGTCATGAACCAACAATTCTATGAACAATTGCCAGTTTGTTTTGTTCTCTGCATCCACAACTGCCCATGCTAACGGGAACATACAGTTCTCACCATCGATCCCAACAACTGCCAACAACTATCCACCTTCTGCAGATTTTAGGAAGCATCCATCCAACCCAACAACTGGCCTGCACCCAGCCTTAAACCCTTCCTTACAAGCACCCTATGCAGGTGTACAATCTCTTAAAAGTATGTCCCGAACCTTCGATTTGCACTGTACTGCCTGGATTTGTTCTCTTCAATTCCTCACCGTAATCCGATAAAATTTTGTACTGCTCAGCTACAATTCCATTAATAACTTATGCACATTTTGATCTTGTCCTGTAGAACTGATGCTTTGAAATCTCATACATGCAGTCCTCTTTCACAGTCTCCATAAAACTACTCATTGGAATGTTGGGATCAAACCTAAATTTTCTCACATATTTCTTTACCAGAAAACCTGAATTAACCCTTTTATTTTGCAACACCATGGTACATGTGTGCTCACCTACAAATGTGTTAATTCTAATACTCTTGTCGGGTTGTTGGTATGCATACAGAACCCAAGGGCAATTATCTTGACACCAAACTCTTAACTGTGTCCTCATATTTTTCACTTATCTCAGTTGCCTGGAATTTTTGACGGAGTATTGAACTATTGCATTCCTTAGAATCTTGACGTTGTTGAATTTCATCCCTGACAGAAATGAATTAAACCAGAATGCATTATCATCCAAATGAATTAAACCAGAAATGAATTACACAAACAAATGCATTACCTAGCTTGAACTGTAGATCTTCCATATCAGTTGCAGGGTTAAACCAACACACATTATTCCTTCTGGCAGATGATCCCTCAGCCTCTGTATCACTGGGTAAGCTTCTAAGCTCATTGGAGTCTTCGTATTCTGTTCCAGATTCTTCCTCGGCAGCTGCCTCATCTTCCTGCTTATCCCTTACACCTTCCTGCTCACCACTTATACCAATATCAAAACTTTCACTCAACCTGAAATATGTGTTTTCATCATTATCCTCCACAGCAATATTTTCTTCTTGCTCGTACTCTGAGTCGTTAAATTCCTCTCCCAAAATACCCTCCTCATATTTATCATCCAGCTCAGGATCATCATGTTCCACATCATGCTCCACACCAGTTTCAGTAACCGGTACGTCAACTTGCGGTTCATCAAACTCCACATCAGTTTCAGCAGCCTGTACCTCTGGTTCAGCATCATGCAACACATATTCAGCAGCCTGCTGCTGTGGTCCAGAAACGTGCACATCAATTTCAGCAGACTGCACCTCTGCTTCGGCATCATGTTCAACAGCCTATGCCTCTGTTCAACAGCATGCATCTCCTGCTGAGCCTGCTGCTGTGGTCCAGAAGCATGCGTATCAATTTCAGCAGGCTGCACCTCTGCTTCGGCATCATGTTCAGAAGCCTGCGCCTCTTGTTCAGCAGCATGCAACTCCTGCTGAGCCTGCTGCTGTAGTTCAGAAGCATGCGCGTCAGTTTCAGTAGCTTGTACTATGCTTCAGCATCATGCAACTCATGTTCAGACCTCAACTGTGGTTCAACATCATGTGGTTTCTCTGGTTCAGCAGCATGCACTTTTGATTCATGTGAGTCTACTTCAGCCCCTATAAAATCAACTTCTCTATGCTCATGCTCTGTTCCATGCACTGTATAAACTTCCTCTTCATCTGCTTCCATGTCATCCACTTCATCAACTACATACATGTCATCACCTTCTACTCATTTGTCATAAATTTCAATAATCAAACACTTGAACATCCTTCTGTTCTGTTTCATCCCAAGACAACTCCAAAACCTCAACTACAGGCAAGCAATACAGTTCTGATGTCCTATTATCACCAAGCCACTTCACTAAATTCATGAAATCTGAGTCTTTAACCAACTAAAATGAACATTCACTCATTCTTTTCTTCTCCATTTTGTATAGATATCTAATTCTATCAGAATATCCTAACATCTTCACGACATTGTCCAAAAGAAATCTATTGAAGAAATCAGGGTCGATATAGTCTATATAACTTATCTTCCCATGCTCATACACAAAATTTCTCATCTTTTGAAATAAAATTCCACCATGATGAAGCCGTATACTGAAGTATTTTGAATTTTTCCCTGAAAAAACACCGAAAAAAAGGAAATTAAGCCCTAGCCCTTTTCAGTTCGAGCAACGAACATGTGCAGAAAAGATAGTACACAAGCATTACGCTCTAATACACCAAATCACTTAAAATTTTTGAATTTTCTAGTACGTGAAGACAATCGAACAGGGGAACTTCATAAACATACAACTTCACACCGTAAACCGAAAAAGGGGAACACACTTACCGTACACGGGTTGGGGAAGAGAGCCTCGAATGTGGGCTGCAATGTCCACTGGATGTTCGTCTTCTTCGACGTCCGTTTCGTCTTCTTCGTGGCTTTTCGCAGGTTCCATAGTGGATGGTGAGTGGAATGAAATTGTAACTGACGTGTTTGATGTTGAGGAGGGAAATGTGTGTAATATCCATGTTGCCCTTCACTTATTTGGGGAAAATTCTTGAAAATATCATTAAAGGGGTCAATTGATGGTTTTGGCGGTCAAACAGACAGAAACCGTCATTTTGGACTGGCCCCACACATTTTTTAAAAGTTTGGTACCTCCGGTGGCACAAACTAAAGGTTTGGACAAAGTCTGCTAATAAATGAAAGGTTTGGTACCTCAGTTGCAATTTTCCCCTAAATAAATCATCAGAAACAAAAAATGAAAAAGAAAAAGGAGAGGCGAGATTTTTGGAAATAGTAAAGAATGAGGTCCCAAAGAAATTTCCCAAACCGTACGGGCCAAAAGAAATTTCTGGTTCAAAGTCTGCTAATAAATGAAAGGTTTGGTATCTCAGCTGCAATTTTCCCCTAAATAAATCATCAGAAACAAAAAATGAAAAAGAAAAAGGAGAGGCGAGACTTTTGGAAATAGTAAAGAATGAGGTCCCAAAGAAATTTCCCAAACCGTACGGGCCAAAAGAAATTTCTGGTTCAGGCTTGGAAACAGTGGGCCCAAACAGTTTGGGCCATCTGGGTCTGAGACCGAACGTCCTAAAAGTCGCGTTTACCAAACAGCGATTTTATCCTCTGTTTCCCACCACTCCCGTATTCGTCTTCTACACTGCATCATTCAACCCTCTAATTCGACCCTGCATTTCATCCAGTACACTTCGATTTTTCATTTTTTTTTTTTTTTGCCCTTTGTCCATATAGAATAAGAGATAAAATGCAAGAAATAATAGCGTGCAATCCTACGATTCCGCTTCAATCCCACCACCGTCGTCCAAATCGAAATGCAGCCGCTACATTTTTCACAAGTAGACACCTCCATTTGCTGGGCCGCCGCAAACTCTGCTTCGACGTTGTTTCTCTTCTTGACACTCTCTCTCCTATTCCAAGGTAAGAAATTTACATAGATACATGTGAATGCAAGTGTAAATGCTTAATCTCGATCCATTTCTTTTACTTTTGCTTTATAGGGCCGATGATAAAGATTCTATTACCAGCTTTTGTACAGAAGATTTCGGGCTTCTACGAGAAAACTTTCTTATGACAACGCGTCGTATGTTTTTCACCAGTTTGTTAATGTGCTCGTGTTGTTATCTTCTTCCTTCAAGGTGCATTCCAGGTTCGCGCTCCCCCCCCAGCTTTCTATTGTTGTAATGCATATCCTTTTAACTTGATTCGACTTATTTCTACTTGAAAATCTGTATAATATGAAGAGTCTTTGTAATTGTTGGTTAATGATATATCTTTTAGTAAAAAGCTTTAGTAATTGTTCGTTAAATATGAATGTGCTTCACAGCATATGCTTTGGGGGATCCATCCGTGACAGTTGAACAAGTTACTCCTCCAGTTTTTCCTTCCGGGCCACTTTTCCCTATCGAGGTCCGTTCTTATACACACCTATTTAAGTTGTTAGCTCTCTCTTTTTTTTTTTTTTTTTTTTTTTTTTTTTTTTTAATTTGAAAAATAATAGCTATTTTTGTTTTGTTAATTGTTAATATATATTTCTGTTGTCATATCTTAAATTTGTTTTCATATTAGTTTTGTGTACTAAAAAGTATTATTGTAATCATATCATTATATTTTCGTTTATTCAATATTTCCATTTCATATGCAAATACACACACACATACACTCAATTGTAATTTTCCCTTTAACTATATTAGCTATCTCTATTAGCAATTCAAAAATAGTACATATATCATTCATCGATACATAAGATGTGCAAAATCACAGCATTTCATGTCTTATCATTTCAAACAGACATCTTTCGTTTTAGTTTATGATCTGAATGATTTTTTTTTTTTTTTTTTTTTTTGACATTTTTCCGTCTTGTTAATTGGTTTGTGTAAGTTTTTTCCCCTTAGATGGGGTTTGTTTATTGCAGGTGAATTGATATGTATCTTAATGGCAGGAAAGAATTGTCCAACTTTTTGAGAAGAATACTTATTCCGTTGTCAACATATTTGATGTAACTTTGAGACCTCAACTTAACATCACTGGTGCGGTTGAGGTATGATTTTGTTTCTTTCTTTTCATGCAAGAACTCTTTATTGATTCACTTTATCCATGCTTGGAGCAGACTAATAATCTCTACACTGCAATTACTGGAAAAGGAGTCTCTCATTTCACACCATTTTCTTCTTGAAGCTATAATAAATAATGAAAAGACTATAAATACAGATTCACAGTTTATACATAATAACAGGTTCCTGAAGGAAATGGTTCGGGGGTTGTCTGGGATGATCAAGGTCATATTGTGACAAACTATCATGGTATGCACTTCTGCCCAAAATGAAAACAATTTCACTGCACAAAAAATAATTTCTCACATTTCCCCTCATTGAATTTTGGTTTACAATTAAATCTGTTGGTGCTCTATCATGTTTAAGTAAACGATGTATTTCTTTAGGTGGAAGGATTGCACACTATCTACAAGTTTATCCAAGATCTTTTATTTTGAATTTTATTAAAGTCCTTGTTTTGCAGTCTTCACGATCATTTATGCCTGTTGATAGCAACTTGCTTGAATTTATGTGTATCTTGTTGCTTGACTCTTGTTTTTCTCTCTATAACTTTTTTATCTTTTTGTTAATCTTTTAAGCATAGTGCCAGATGATCCTGTAATTTGTCTTATAAATGTGATTCACTGAGGATATAATGAACAGCTTCAGATTTTATGTTGATTGTCTTGTCTTTGTTGACCAGTGATCGGTAATTCTCTTTCAAGAAATCCAAGCCGTGGGCAAGTTGTTGCTCGAGTTAATATTGTTGCTTCAGAAGGGTAAGGCTTACTGTTTGTTTAGTCTTGTCCATTGTGTCACCTTAATCACGTTCATTAATATTCAGTGTACTCAAATTTATTCTCATCTGGTTTCGTGTTGACTTTCCCATGTTTCCTTGTTGTGAAGAGTGCAAAAGAACTTTGAGGGTAAGTTGATCGGTGCAGATCGTACCAAGGATCTTGCTGTCTTGAAGGTTATTTTATTTCTCGAACATGTAAATTTTCAAATTTGAAGTTGTTAAAATTAATAATATAATGGGTTTATTCATCATTCTTGGGTTGGTTATTTTTCGATGCTAGGTAATGAACCTCTAGTAACATTGCATGTATGCTCGAAGAAATTCTTCTTCGCATATGGGAATCTAAGCTTCTCCATGTTGCCTAATCGTCTGTTCTATATGAGAAATGCTTACATTATGTTTTTCCTAGAGTTCTGTAAGATAACCTTCAACTGATTTATCAAAATTATCGCAATTTCAGCTTTTCAAATTCATGGGCATACAAAGGCTACTAGTCTTTCTACTTGTTTTAGTAGTGTCTTTCTGCTTTGCTGGTACATTTACTTAAGATGCAGCCACTTCTTGGAGACTGTTTTCTGTACATTAGGAGTCTGAATACTGTGATAATCGAGAATATTCGGCACCACAAACTAATTCAGAAGCAAAGAACATCTACAAATCTAATCATACATTCAATTTTTTGTCAGGCTCATGAATTTTATTTGATAACTATATGAATGAAATATAGACTGGGAAAACTGTGATGCAAGGATCCATTAGTGTGATGGCATGTAGGATGCATCATGTTTGCTGTTTTACCTGATTATATCTTCGACATGCCAGGTCGAAGCCCCTGAAGAACTATTGAGGCCAATTAAGGTGGGTTTGTCATCTTTTCTGAAAGTGGGACAGCAGTGCTTAGCGATTGGAAATCCGTTTGGTTTTGATCACACGCTCACTGTTGGGGTCATTAGCGGATTGAATCGAGACATTAATAGTCAAACTGGAGTCACAGTAGGTGGAGGAATTCAAACTGATGCTGCCATCAATCCTGGAAACAGGTTTGATTCTTATCATGTATGTCGACCTTTATATAAACTGTCTTAGCCATAACTATCTGATTCCCTGTGATGTTACAGTGGAGGTCCATTATTGGATTCCAAGGGAAATTTGATTGGAATAAACACTGCAATATTTACTCAGACGGGTGAGTCTTCTCCGCTTCATTTATTGCAGAATAAATATGGAATAAAAGAATTGTACAGATCTACTTCCGATTATGAAATGAAACAGAGTTAATCTTTCCTTACAACTGGCGCTCGTACAAATCATTTTCCGTTTTTTCTACAAGACAGGAACATCAGCAGGAGTCGGGTTTGCAATCCCTTCATCAACCGTGGTAAAGATAGTGCCCCAGCTGATCCAGTTTGGAAAAGTATGTTCCCTTTAAATTGCTGTTCATTTTTATTCTGCAATCATGCCTTCAAATCTTTGCTTCTTTCTTTATATATTTTTTGTTCCGAGGCCCTCAATGTTTATTTTGTATTAAATACACATATTCAAATTCTCTGCTGTTTGTTCATCATAGATGTTTTTGCAAGTAAAATCAATATTCTAAAGTTGGACATGTGGAATAAAATTTTCATCAAGCACCTAATTGTAACACCCCTGTATAAGCCTCTGTTTGACAACCATTAAAACAAAATTCTTTTTTTCTCAAACTCATTTTCAACCACACATTCTTATAATAAAATATTTTGCACATAAATTCAAGACTTTTTCCTATTTTTTAATTACACATTCTCAAAAAATTTACTATTTCAGGACTCATTTTTCCCTAAAAACTCATTTTAATGGTTGTTAAATAGGGGCTATATTGAAAATGCTTATGCCTCTTCCGATTCCGCTTGGGCGGATTGTTGGCCAAAGACAATATTTTTTTCTTAGATTAATGATTTTCTGAATTTTATATGCAATTCGTCACTCTCCAGGCTGTTCGAGCTGCTTTAAATGTTGAATTTGCTCTGGACCCCATTGCAAATCAACTCAATGTTCGAAATGGAGCGCTCATTTTGCAGGTAAACCTCTTTGGTCTTCAACGTGTCAAATATCATTCTATCCATGCTAAAACTTTTCTTTTGACTGCTGGTAAAATAATTAATATCTCAATTCATTTGATGCAATTTTTATAGGTCCCTAGGAATAGTCTAGCTGCCAAGGCCGGGCTACTTCCAACTACAAGGGGCTTTGCTGGTAACATTGTACTCGGTGATGTTATTGTGGCAGTGGATGGCAAACCTGTGAGCATTATATTATGGATAATTCTACAATAAATTACACACACACACACACCCCCCAAACATAGAGGGGGGCCCATGAATATTTTATTGTATGTGGGCCCCCCTCCATGTGAGGGGGTGTAATGTCGCGTGTATACCATTGTGTATACATAGCACTTCCCTTATATTATTTTTATTTGTTTAATTCACGTCTCCCTATCTTCTTGTTTTATGCAATCACATGTTATTTACTATTTAGATACGATGTGCTAATTATTGTAATAAATGTCGTTTGCCTGCTTTATATTTGTGTTACACCTGATAGAACTGGGTTTTATAGCTATTAGTATATAGTATACAGCCCAGTGCTGTGGGGCGCAGATGTTAGTCTTAAAAGTTTTCAAGCACGGTGGTGGAAAATTCCATTTTCAGCACAGATATTCGTGTCATGCTTATAGAAAACACACGCCTGTTTGCAGGCTTCTGCTTCTTGTAGAAGAGGTTCCCAAGGAGGCTTTCATCTTCCGCTAAAAGCTCTTCTAACCAAACCAAGTACTTTCAAAAAATTATCGAAACAAGTTCAAAAACAGCTTCTCGGTCTGATAAACTGGTTTGACTTTTCAAAACCTTGCCAAACTGGCCCTCTTCACGCATCTAGTTGCATCACATAGTTAGCTACTACTTTCTCATTGCATTATCAGATAGTATGTGTTAAAGACATTTTAAGCATTGTGGTGGAGAAATCGAGTTGATTATCTGTCTATTTGCGTCTCCTGTGTTTCTTTCACCTGCCTAAGTGGTTGATATATCAATTTTAAACAAACTCTTGCTATGATTCTTGATTACTCAACATGGAACGAGTGATATCTTCATTAGCAACATTGACCATTATTTTTCTGTTGCAGGTAAGGAGTAGATCAGAACTTAGTAAAATACTGGATGAGTACAATATTGGGGAAAAAGTGATACTAAAAATCCAGAGGGGCGTTGAAAACTTGGAGGTCCCCATAGTTTTAGAGGAAAGAGAGTAGAGTAAACTTTTCTTCAAGATGCCAGCTAGCCATTGAGGTCTACCTCAAAGAATTTCTTGTATAAAAAGGTACTAGCATGCTTTACGCGTTTCTCAAGAAACAATTCGATTCTGTATAAACATGCGCCCAGGCGGGCCCCCTAGTTTGTAAGTTCTTCTGGTATGCTCTGTGCATACGCAGTACATTATACGTTAGTTTTAGTAAATGAGACGACAAATTTTGTGAAACCAACTCATTTCCCCCAATTTAAGGTTACTATGGTCCAAAGTTCATCAATTTAGAGGTGATATGTCAGTGATGTAATTTTTTTCATTTACCTAATAAATTTTTTATTTTTTAATTTTATAAAATATTTCACAATAATTGCAATACTTGCATGCAAACAACCAATATGATACGTATAATTTGAATATGATTTGTTTATTGGATTATTAGGCAAGTGCAATTCCCAAATTCAGATGGTACAAAAAGTTTGTTACTTGTATATCTCTTAAGGCAGTTAACATGAAGTAATAAGCCTAATTACGTGTCTTCATGTGGATAAATATGAATGGGAATTGATATTTAATTATTATGTTCACATTAAAAGTCAAAGTATTCTTGTCTTATTTATTGTACTCTAATTAGGGGCTCAACATGACCACGACCAATTATGGGCTCGTTTGGCAATAACTTGCGTATTTTGTAGAATGGCTTTTTAGGGAAGATACAAAAATTTCTAGCTGGACAAACCATTTTGCCATTTCCAAAAGTTATTCAGACACATTCGAAAATAGTTTCTTAGTTTTAAAAAGTTCTCTGTTTTTTTTTTAAGTCTTGTCAAACGAATACTAAGGCTTCGTTTGGGAGTGATTTTAAGAATTGATTTTTTAACTATTAGAAGAAAAGTAAGGGCCACATGTGAGAGAAGAAGTTAAATTTTATGGTTGGAATAGTGAAATAACGGTCAAAAAATCAATTTTTTTGAGTGAAAAATCACTCCTAAACACCCCTGAGAAATGATGACAAAGAAAAATAATTTGTTTCCAAGATCCCATCAGCATTTCATGATTAGACCTTAATGTTGTTAATGGTGTCGTTAATTTCCTTTTAATTACAAACCAATCAACTGATGAGGGTTGGCTAATCCAAATTAATCAGACCAAAAATTTATTATATTCTATTATACACATACATACAGTGGAATTGTTTAATGCTAATACTTAAATATTGAGTCAGGATATAATTGTCAACCTCGTTAGATTCAATTTTAATGTGTCTTGCTCTTTGATTTCTATTCCACATATACAATTATGTCAAACTTTCACATTCAATTGGTAACTTTAATTCATTAATTTCCCATCTAAGTCATGATCATGGATTAACATCACTTTGTCATTGATAATCTAAAGATAAGGCTTGAATAATGGCTTAGCATTTAAACAATCAAGTTCTTTTGGAATTAAGATGGTTAACCTTATTGGACTTAATATATACATTTTGACATCATGAAATTAAGACAACAATAACGTATTACTTCATGTTTGGTGTTGCCAAATATCAAATTTTTTAATAGATTTTGATAAAAGTTAATTAAATATCCAACTGAAAAGTTGATAAAAGTTATGAATTTTATGAAATATTTGACTAAAATTAATTGTTGACTTTGATATAGAATTGTATTGACTTTTTAATCCACAACAAACAGGGTTTACCATCTTATAGGAATAAGATTGATTGCAAAAAGTATGATGTAATCGAGATTTCATTGATGCTTGTTTCTTTTCTAGATGATCACTACATAACAAGAATCGTCACAAGACGATAACAAGATTTCAATAAATAAATTATAGCATTGAGAAAATATGAATTGCATCTATCTGCGCATGGTTAACAAGATAGTGTTCATACAATTATATATTTTAAGAGACTATAAACTAATGCCATGAGACTATTGCTTTGTCTCTAATCTTGATTGCAAAAAGATAAAAGAGAAGCAAGGAAATTTTGAAAACACAGTCTCTTTCAGATCACAAATTTGGACTTCATTAAGCCAAATGGTTCACCAAGGGGAAGTAGGTTTCATTACGAGTCCATGGTCTTGACTTAAGTTCTTTGGTAAAAACTATATTAAAAGAGTTTCCACAGAAGCTGCTTCACCTGGAAAGAGTAGTCGAACGCTCAGAGGAAGAACCCTTTTAAGAAACATATATTTGGATTTAACTGTGGGCGCTTTCAAGAAACAGAAATATGGGTGATAAGATTGACGATGTTATGTTGCCTGGTTTTCGGTTTCATCCCACAGACGAGGAGCTTGTTGGGTTTTACCTGAAGATAAAACTTCAGCACCGGACTCTTCCTATTGAGCTGATTAAGCAAGTCGACATATACAAATACGATCCATGGGACCTTCCAAGTAAGACAACCTTCTTTGCCTTCATATTCTGTACAAAGTTCAGATGTTTTCAGTGTTTGTTTCCTAAAGTGGTCGTTATATGACAAAAAACAGTATCTGTCCCAATTCATTTTATTCTCCTGAATTAGTACTTATTATAATTTTTGAAGCAGCCCTGGCATCTACTGGGGAGAAGGAATGGTACTTCTACTGTCCAAGGGATCGGAAATACCGGAACAGTACACGGCCAAACCGTGTTACAGGATCTGGATTTTGGAAAGCCACCGGAACTGACAGGCCTATATATTCATCTTATGATACCAAATGCATTGGTTTGAAGAAGTCCCTGGTGTTCTATAGAGGAAGAGCTGCAAAAGGAATAAAAACTGACTGGATGATGCACGAATTCCGACTTCCATCGACCCCTGAAACTGGACTACCCAAGAAGCTCTCAGACAAGAATCTTCCTCCAAATGTTAGTCCGTTACAAGGATTTCTAGTATTCACCATATATGCACTGCTATTATGACAGATTTGATTGCAGTGTTCTCTATTGACTGCAGGATTCTTGGGCCATTTGTAGGATTTTCAAAAAGACGAATTCAATTGCACAAAGAGCTCTCAATAACTCTTGGGTAACTTCATTATCTGAAACATCACCAGATTCAATTATTCAAGGTGGACACTATGCTCAATTTACTTCAGAGAATATCTCTTCAACCACTAATACCAAATCAAGCATTCAGTTGTGTAGCAGCAATCAAGGTTCTCCATCTAACTTTTCCGATCTCAGCTATCCCTCGTATAAACCAATAATTAGTAGACCATCTATTTCTGCAACCTCAAATGGGGACTTCCTCAGTAACTTCATGTTCTTATCTCCTGACGAAGAGTCAGGACCAACGAACAAGAGTACATTTGATTTGACTTCCACGATTTTCAATTCTTCACCTGCTTTTGTCGGTAAAACATCAGAGTGTATCGACTTTGAAGGACCACAACATCAGTTTAATATCTTCCCAATGATTTCATCACAAGAGATGCAAGAAACTATAAGCTTGGAAGATGATGAATGGGGTCTGAGAAGAACGGTTGCGTTTCCGTTCAATTTGCCATCTACTGTACCAGATGAATTGAAGTCTAATTTGCCATGGGATTCTCCCCCCTGTCCTAGTGAATTCTCTGCTTCTTATTCTACAAACAATTGTTATACATAGTCCCATTACAAAGAAAGGGCGATAGTCTTCTTTTTAGCTTTGTCTTGAGCAAGCAAAGCCTTGTACAAACTGTATTCCATTCAGTACCACTGCACAGTTATTCCTGTATATTCTATTCATATATGTGTCATTGTAATTAATGTTTAACTTGAACTGGATTTATAAATTAATTGCCAAGTGGAGGCTTAATGTTTCCCTGATACCCCCTTGCTGCCTAAAATAACTGCAAGGACTGGTGCAAAATTATAAACTGCTGCTTCACATATAAAAGGCCTAAAAGTACACCATTCTCCAGTTTTTAAACCAATTTTCACGTTCTTATGAATTTGCCATTCAGATTATTCTTTATTTTAGTTAATTAAAAAACCAACTTAACCACTTTTAAAATTAGTAGACGTGTTTTGATAGTAAAACGATAAGGGGTTTGGACCGTTTGGTACTTTATAATTTAGGCCCCGTTTGATTGCACGAAATTTTCCATGGAACTTGGAATTCGAATTCCAACTTCCACTTTTGGCCTGTTTGATTGACAAAATTTTCCAGGAAATTGATTTTCCACGAATTTCTAGGTACAACACCTTAAAGCGTGATTTTCCACCTTTTTTTTTCCTAGGGGATAGGTGGTTTTTGGTTTTCCACCTTTTTTTTATTTTATTTTTTTGCTTTTTTTATTATTTTTTTTAATTGTTGGCAATGGGAACAAATTTTAGGAATAATTGTAAAAGAGGATATCCCTGAAATTGATAATTTCCACGTAAAACAAAGTCAAACGAACATCAAAAAATACTTTTACTTCAACATTTTCCACTTGAAAAATTTATACAATCAAACACAATAATTTACAATTTCCATGAAAACAATTTCTAGGTAATTCAATTCCTTGGAATTCATTTTCTTTCCATGTAATTTTCCTACTTGTAATCAAACGCACCCTTATTTTCTACATTATCAGAAGATGGGGAAAATCTTTATGGGTCGTTTGGCGAGACTTCCGCTATTGTTTTTGCATCTTGTAGAAAAATTTTCTAAGGAAGTTAGGGAAACATCTTCTAAAAGCTCTTCTAACCACACAAGATACTTTCAAAATATTATCTAAACAGGTTCAAAAGCATCTTCCTAATTTGTGAAGTGGTTGAAAATATTCTCAACAAATTAAAATTTGGCTTGTTTGATGACCTTAAAGCATCTACAATAGATTCTTTAATGCTCCAAAAAACTATTTAAATTCAAAATTTAAGAGCATCTTCAAGATTCTATAGTTTTAAAGAGTATATTCTATCATTTAAAGAGCATCTATAAATTTACAGAGTTAAGATTTTGAAGTATTCTAACAAACTTTTTATATTTAACACTTAATTTTACTACTCCCAAAAAATCTTTATTATTTTTCTTTATTTTTTTTTTAACTGGCTTTTCTCTAAATTATTTTATTATTTTCCTATATAGAAAATTGAAACACTTTTGAGCGTGTTTAATTATAGAGAGTGGGTTTGACTCATATTTAAAAAGTCTCTTGGAAATACTTTTATAATTAAATGCATTCAAAATTTCTCAAATTTCAATGTAGGAAAATAATAAAATAATCTAAATAAAATTAGTTAAAAGAAAATATAGAGAAAAATGATAAATATTTTTTGGGAGTAGTAAAATTTAGTGTTAGATATAAAGTGTATGTTGGACTACTTCAAAATCTTTACTTTCTAAACTTATAGATGTTCTCTAAATTATATAATATGCTCTTAATAGAGAGTATATTAGAGATGATCTTATTTGGTCAAAATACTATTTTGAATAGTGATTTTTAAGAGGATGTGTGCCTTAAAAAAAATGGTTTAGATGCAGAATATTTTATTATGTGAATGTGTTGTTAAAAATGAGTAAAGAGAAAAAAGAGTTTTCAAATAATAATTGTCAAATAGGGGCTTAGATTTGCCTCGAGATCTTATTAAGTTATTGGCCGAGCAAGAGCTGGACTTGAAAGTATTTTGATTCATCAGTCGTGGCGGCTTGTCTTGAGCTCGTGAATCGATTAATTTTTTATTTATTTTATTAATTTTAAAAAACGACCAAAAAAGGAAAAAAAGAAAAAAGAAAAATGCTTGCTCGATCCATTGCCCTCCTCCTATATTAGATTTCAAACTTAGAATTTTTTTATTAAGGAAAAGAGAATAAATGAATTTTTTTTCATCATAATAATAAAAACGGAAATTGGACTTGAATTGCCACTTACTAGATAATGGTAAATTTTGAAGGATGAGAATTTTATCATTTGATTAGACAAAATATGTTGAGGGTGGTTTTTAGGATAAAACATTGTAATCTTGTTTCATACTCGTAAATATATGTACAATTGTTGAGTGAAATCCAGACTTAAGTAAGCGAATAACAATAAAAAAAAATGAAATATCCAGACAAAGCGAATGGATAATTTTCTATTCAAATACAGAAGTACTAACAAAAATTTCAAGATCGATAGAACCATATAAGATTTCTCAAGCTAGGATTAGAAAATAACCACTAGCATTTGTAAGTATTATGCTCTAGGTTCAATCAACTTTAGATATAAATACTTTTATATATATAATTAATGCAATAAAATGACAGATCTATTATTTAATTAATAGACAATTAAATAAATAATAGAGTCCATAGATTCAAATTTTCGTAATTTGTTAATCATAAAGAGTTGTGATTGTGAGATACAAATTACATCTGATTGAATTTTAAATCGTCCGTGGTCGTAAGTAATAACGAGATACGGATATCGTTATTACGGATAGACCATCACGTGTGGTATTTCTTACTTGTGAAGTAAGTAGCTGATCTCACAAGTTAAAGTGTGGTGACACTTAAATGAACACGTGGATGTTTTGTTATAGAACAAAACATTGGAGACCCGTCGAGAGATTCCACATGGATAACTATATGAGTGTCAGTGATTAATCTTTAACGTTCGGTAGTGGAATTTGTCCATTGACTTGAGGTCATCATGGTACCTTATATGAGGACAGTCATACTTTGGCGGTGTTGGATGTTGCTTTGAAAAGGGCCGCTAATACGACATCGTTCGGGTATGTCAAGAATCGTATCAAGGTTGTGATTGGTCAATAAAGGATTCGTCACTCTTAGATAGTAGGAGATTATGATCTGTGTTTCATTCAATTAAGTCGATGATGAAATCCTTGGCCAAGATGTACTCATAAGTCGAAAAGGAGTTTTCGACTTATATTCACTTAATAGTGGAGTGAAAGATATGATCGATGATCGAGATTGGCACAATTTCATATCTCGTAATTGATCGGATCATATTGACGAAGGGATTATAGTTTTACGGTAAACGAACGAATTTGGTTTTGTCATACCACGTGACATTTCTCGTCACATGTATTGCTCTGACACATTGCTAGATGTCAATCAGGGACGGCGAGTGTGAATTGACGATAAATTAAAAGAGTGTTTTAATTTATCAATTTTGATTAGATCAAAATAATATTTCACGTCGTTAGGCATCGTGGTCGGGAACCTAATGGGTCGCACACAAAAGAGAATTGGAAGATTGCAAATTGCCAATTGGTTAATTTAACAATCGTTGGATAAATTAATTAATTGAATTTATTATTTATATTCCCGAATTAATTAATTGGATTAATTAATTCACGGACCGGATTTAATTAATTGGATTAATTAAATATTGAACCGGACCGGGCCGATCCCGTTTGGGTTTATATAAATACATGGCTAGGGTTTGATATCCATATGATTTTCATTATTCTTGCTGGCACAAGAGAGAAAACCCTGGTAGCTGCAATCTTGTTCTCTGTGTGGATTACCGTTGGAGGCTGGACAATTGGACAGCTGTGGATGGCGAATCAAGATTGCTGGAACGAAAAGAATAGCAAAGAAGTTTGCAAATCTGAAAAAGGTACAATTTTATCACAATTTCTATCTAAACACAAAGACGATTTTTTGTGGGAATCGAAAATTATTTTAAATTCCTCTGTGCATGTATAAGTAGATTCCCTACAGTGGTATCAGAGCCTACTTTGTGTTTGTTAGGAATTGATCTTTGATTGTTATTGTTTTTCATGTTTCTAACAATTAAGAAAATTAATTTTCGTATTCAAAATTGGTTTTGAGAAAGAAAATAATATTTTAGAATTGGAATATATATAATTAGAACAAAAAAAAGGGAAGGAAAAAGGCGTGGGATGCCGGCAGCAATAGTTGCTACCGACGACGGCAACGCAGCTGCTGGCTGCCGGTGCTGCAGCGACCGCCGCTGCCAAAAGCGGCAGCAGCGGCGTCCCAAAAGCGAAAGAAAATAAAATAAAATAAAATTTTGTTTAGGGTTTTCAGTTAGTTGGGGAGAGGGGGCTTGCTTTGTAATTTTAGAAATTCAAGGGGGCGGCCTGTAATTAAAAGGGAGGATCAACTTGCAAACTTTAAAAAAAGGGTCATTTCGCAAGAAGTTAATATTGCAGACCCCGGCTGCAATTATAAAGTCGGGGTCAATCTGTAATTATCGAATTAAGGGCTGCTGTGCAATTTTGTAATTTCGAGGGCCCTGTTATTAATTTAAAAGTTGGGTCAAATTGCAATTTTAAAATGGTTTTGAATTTGAGATTTAAAACGATTTTAAATTATTTTTAAATGAGTTTTGACCTATTTTGACTAGACTCCTAATTTTGACTCAAAATTAAAATCTTATTTAAAAATTGACGACATTTTATATTTTCGTTAAAATTGGATTTTGACTTAAACGTTAAACTTTGACCCAATTGAATTTTTATTTTATTTAGGAGTGTTATCCTATATTAAAATATTAATTCAATTTAAATTAAAGTTTGACTTTAATTTAATACTTAATTAAAATTTGATTTTAATTGGTTATTCACTCGAATATATTCTTGTAATTAGAATTGGATTCTAATTTCACATTTAATTAAAATTTGATTTTAATTAAATTGTCTCGTCCTAAATTTCTTCTTGAAATTAGAGTTGGACTCTAATTTGGTATTTAATTAAAATTTTGATTTTAATTAAATTAACTCGACCGAAATTTCTTCTTAGAGTTAGAGTTGGACTCTAATTTGGTATTTAATTAAAAT